AGTCCTCGCCTTAGGACCACAATTTAGCCCAAGATCGGTCGTTGAGCGAGGCATTGGTGAGTTTTTGCCCCGTTATACGACCTGCCTGCCAGCCGTCATTAAGCGAAATCGCTGCAGTCGTTAACCTAGTAACCCGGTCGTTGAGCAGATCTGCCTTCCCCAGAGTTTGCTGGTCAGGTGGTCGCAAAAAAAGGGATCGGATGATCCCTGGGACGCTGCAACCGTCATAAATAGGAGTCTGTTACCCAGAATCTGAATTTTGGTTATGCTGCTGCCAGTCGTGTGAAAAAAATGGTCATAAGTCACTTTTTTCAATGCTGCTCTAACTTCGAATGGCCACTAAACGAGGACTACATAATTGGGGGAATTGTGTTCGGGGGGGGGGTCTATTACAAGTCTGCCGTTGTAATTTTGTCATTAAATGAACTGTTGTAAGCCAAGGATTCGCTGTATAGGAAACAACATCATACGTTGAGACTCTGGGAAGCTGTTTTCCTGTTGCTTTCTTGCCCTCTGGAAAAACACTCACCACCCCCCACAACATTTGGGGCAGGGAACCTGCTCTCCCCCCCCCACCCCCCTCTTTGCATCACGAGTCACAGGTTAGAAAACCCTTGAATGAAAAATTCCTTGCTTTTGATCTTGGTTAATAAGGTTGTTTCTCTGCTCCTTTTCTGGGAGCTGGAGTTGCCAAGGCTTAAAAAGTGGCCAAGGGTTTAAAAGTTAAAAAGGTTAAAAAGGTAAAAATCCTGCTCTCCTGCTTGGATTAAAAACCCCATCATCCCCAACCAGGATTGGCCCTGGCGTTAAGACCGGTTCCAATCCAACCCATCTCAAGAGCAAACAGGCCGGGGATGGTGCCAAGGCAGAATAAATGATCCCGAAACTGGTAATGCAACACTGGTTTATATTGTTTCAGGGACAAAGTTCAGAGATACTGAGGTTAAAGAAAAGGAGATTGTTTTTGTGGAAATAAAAGATGCCAAACTGGTCATAGAACACACTTGCACTTCTATTTTTCCCCATGTCTGGCAATAAAGCCCTTGTGATAAAGATGTCTTAATTAAATTTAAATAAAATATGTTCTTTTTAAAAAAATATGTACAATTTTAACTTTAAAGCACATCTCTTGCTGAAATAAACTTTTTTTTAAGTAACCGTAATTCCATGCAATCTCTTTACAACCCACTAAATTCATGCAACAGTCAAACCAGTCGCAAAAAAAAAAGTATTTTTTTTTCCAGGAATGACATCCCCTCATCCGCTGTTCTCTCAAAAGCCAACTTTAAAGCTCTTGTCGAATAGGATACACTCAAAGTGTAACTGCAGATACAAACCCAGGCTTTCAAAAGGCCTGTTCTTTGTCTGTACACAGAGGACACACTAGGACAAACAACATACAAATCTTCTATCTGCAACGAACAAAAAAGTAAAATAGAAGACCGCTGTGGACTTCAGATATACCTTCATAGCAAAATAAAGCTAATTATGGGAACCAGGTGGGTTGGCATTTCACAAGAGGCCCATCTAAAGCCTTTTTGCACTTCCTAGAAATACGGATAAAATACAATATTCAGAAATATACAGAGAAAAAAACAGCACTCAACGCTGGTATAAAAATATACACACTGTCCTTGTTCAACAACGATGTGAAGCAATACAAAGAAATTCCAAGAAACAGGAACAAGTTTTACCCAACAGACGTGTGGAAATCTATAAAATGATCAACGACACGATTTCTTATTGACCTTCAGCCTCCCTGCAAGAAGGACACAGAAGACGGACGGACATCGGTCCTTCCAGTGGCCGGTGCGCACTAGTGGCCACGAGGCTTGCAACGTTAGGAAAGGTGGAACGGTGAATAGCAAACCTCATCCTGGCTTTCACTGGGCCCCCGTTTTTCATTCAAGTAGGGCCAGGATGTTTCGTTTCACAAGACGTGCAAAATGGGATACTTCCCAACTCCTAATTCAGTGTTTTCGAGCACAAAAACACGAAGAGAAGTTTAGAAAGAAAAAGTAACCCTATGATCACAGACACCACAGGTGGGCAGGTGATGTGACATCACAATGGCCTCTTATAGACACACCTTACCTAGGTGACTTCACACCTGGTGACCTGGGGTCTCCTGCAGGGGTGGGATGCTACTGGTTCGGCCCGGTTCTATAGAACCCGTAGCTCTGAAGAGCAGCAGACACCGAAATGGCAAAAACCTTTTGGTCGTTTGACTCTGGCCCACCCGCCTGCCCGGGCTCTTGGCTGTCCTTTATTTCCTGCTTTTTCAACTCAGCTGCTTTGCGCAGCACACCTGAGGCTGAAAAAGCAGGAAAGAAGTGGATTTTCAAACACTGCGCACCCAGGCACAGCTGATGTTTTTTGCAATTGTTTTACACGTGCGCGTAGCGTGCAAAACGCACTCTGACCGAACCGGTAGTAACACCGGTTGAATCCCACCCCTGGTCTCCTGCCTGATTCCTAAGGAACTGAGGCTTGTGTAGAATAACGACAAAACGCTTTGTGTATCGAAATAGTCCCCCTTAAATGCTCAAAACCTGTCCAGGGTTGCTTTCCCTCTAAAGCTAAGAATGAGTAATTCACCCCTTAGTGCATTTATCTCCAACCTCTGTACAAACTCACTTGTCTGTAAAGTTTATGCTGTTTATGTTTGAAATCTGACTGGTGCAATATTCTTACAACTTCCAGAGCAGCTAAGAGCACCAGTGGGCTGATTTCCAAAGGCCGACCGTTGCAGTCTGCACTGGGCTGAGCCACCCGTTTTGGCTCCGATATTGGGGCGAGCATGGAGGGCCTAAATTAATTTCTGGTTGAGGCCAAACAAGGCAGGTGACTTACTTGCTGTCAGCAGAAGAGCCAGCAGGACAATAGGAACAGGACCACTTGACAGTTGCTGGAGCTGCACATAATACCATCAAACCATAAAAAAACGGCCTGGAGCTTTGCTTTTCTCTCACAGACCTTCCGGGGATCTTAACTGCAATGTTTTTGTGGAAGTTCCTCACATCCCCCTCCTCTTCTCTACCCAACTCAGCTGCTTAAGGCAGGCTGAAATTAGCCACTGAGTAGAAAAATCAATGCCAAATCCAGATCAAGCTACGGGGAAACCAGAGGTCAGCTTTCCCCCCACTGATGCTGCTGGTGATGAATTAATTAAAGAGCATCCAGAGGGAAAGTAGGACAGAGGAGATCGTGTGGTGCCAACACAATCCTGGAAAAGCAGAGGTGGGGAGGTTAGGATCTTCTCCCCAGGCAAAGCCAGAAGGGGCAACCTGGGCGGCGAAGCAACGGGTAACAATATTTTGCACGCAGACCCTCAAAATAAAGTAAGGAAAAGCTTCAAGACCAGAATGCAAAACAATAAAAGCAGATGTAACAATCCTGGCACCTTCCAACTCAATGTTGTCGACTGGACCTTCTTTGATCTGGACCACAAACCCCTGGGCCTCCAGAGGAGATCTTGCTGGTGCCTGATGTGGTGGCCTGGGTGCAGAGTTCCTTGGGGTGGGAAAATTGGCTGGCAAGAGCTACAAACGGCACTGGGAAAGAGTTCCTAGCTTTGGCCATCACAAACGCGCTGCAAATCTTCTCGTGATACTGTCCACCGTTGACTGAGCTTCTCCAGATGATCGAGAGGCAGCAGGGAGTCACGTCTTTTGGGCCCATCCCTGACCGAGTAGAGAGGAAGTGCGATGGAACGGCCGAAAAAGGGGCCGTATTTGGTTGTAACGTGCGGGACCTCCTTCCTCAAAGCCCCAAGTTCATCGTGGTTCCTTTTCTTTTGGCAGTTTAAATCACACGTATCAACATTTGTGTGAGGGTTTGGGGGTTGTTGTTTTTTTGGTGAGTATCTGGCACATCCAGCAGCCGACAGCGAAGGTTTTAGTTCTCTCCGTGGTCCTCTTCCACCCAAGCCACAATCTTCCCCTCCCACCCAGGAATGATATCATCATCATGGAAAACCTACATGAAAAGCAAAGAGAAGGAAAGTATTCATCCATCCATCCATCCACAGCAATATTTCTCTTCTGACCCAAACCTTGCTCCAAGGAAACAAACACGAAACGGAGGGAACAGCAAAACCTTTTCATGATTCTTTACGAATTCCGTTCCTTCGTGATTAAAAGGCTGTTTCAAACTAACTGTCTCTGATAAGAACGAGCCTTGCCAAGCTTGTGCAAGGCTGCCAGGAACACTAGATAAAGTTACGAAGAAATATTTCAAACACAAAGAGTCTCCAAACACCAACCAAGATAGTCCGAACGTCCACAAGGCTTGAGTGCAAAAACGTCTTTGCTTCCTGCAAAGAACTCTGGTTTCTCAGCTGGCTTTTATCTCTTATGGGAGGGGCCATTACCTTGCAGCCTTACTCCCAATTCGCCTGTGCTGCTGCAGCTGTTCTTTCTTTCGAGCAGCCCTGCGCGCACTCTTCATCACTGCTGCCAGCCTCCACAATCTCCGAAGGCAGCACCCCACTCCCTGATGGTCCTGGCCCCATCCCTGCATCACACACACAGGCCCCTCATCTCAGTCCTCACTTTCCGAGACCCCAGCCATCTGGACCTGCTGCCAGCGAACCACAACAATTTTTCAATCTTGGCTAGGGAATTCTGGGAGTTGTAGACCACACATCTTAAAATTGTCAAGATTGAGAAACATCAGTCCATCATTCCATCCACCCACCCACTCATCCGCAGCAATGTTTTTCAGTGTTGTCAACTTTAAGATGTGTGTCATGCCCCTGTTGGGAGTCTGACTCCGAGGGAGAGGTGGAACAGCTGACGGAGTGGGAGTGTGGCTCCGGTGGTTACAGAGGAAACTGGGGAAGGGCACAGGCCAGATGGGCATTCAGAGGAAGACTCAGGGCCAACCCCTCTTCATCCTAGGGCACGCAGGAAGGAGCCGATAAGGGAGAAATGTGAGTGGTGTGGTCTATGGGGGAGGAAGGGGCCCTGGTCCCCTTCATGGGTTGCAGCTGGGAGGACTGGTTAAAAGGACAAACTGCGCATGGCAGTTTGGAAGCAAAGCGTGCATTATTCTTGTCGGAGCTTATCTGGGTTTTGGCTTCCTCCCAACTGGGATGGCTGCGTTATCTGGTAGAAGTCTACAATTAATCATCCTTGCCTGCAGTAGTAATTCCTTCAGTGTGGTTTGTGTTGGGTTTTTTATTTTGAATTTACTTTACTTTGGGTGCGGACTGCATTTACTCCCTCCGTAAACTGTTTTAAGAGTTTGATTTCCAGCTGAGGATAATTGGACATTGGGGCCAAGTTGGAGGCATTAAAGGGACTTTATTCTATTTTTGTGACTTGGTTATTTTTGTGTCACACCCCAGGTCATCACAATGTGTGGACTTCAACTCCTAGAATTCCCCAGTTGGCTGAGGAACTCTGGGAGTTGAAAACCACACATCTTAAAGTTGTGAAAGTTAAGAAAAACTGGTTGGTCCATCCAATTTATAAACCATAGGTAGTCCTTGATCTAGTTCATTTAGTCAATCAATCAGAATAGAGCTGGAAGGGGCCTTTGAGGTCTTCCAGTCCGACCCCCTGCTCAAGTGACCAGAGTTACAACAGGACTGGAAAAAGTGACTTATGACCATTTTTCACACTTATGACCATTGCAGCGTCATGTGATTTACATCCAGATACTTAAGCCTGGATTCACTTTACAGTGGTGTTTGTAATTTAACTAGTGCAGTGATTCACTTAAACAGATGTGGCAAGGAAAGTCGTAAAATGGGGCAAAACTCACTAACGAATGTCTCACTTAGCAACCTTGGGCTCAATTGTGATTGTAAGTCGAGGGTCACGTGTCCTCATTTCACTCACAGAGCAACAACTCTGGGCAGCGTACGATTCAAGCATAGAAACCACAGCAGCCTCGATTAAAAGATCGTGAAACAGCCCAAGGCCACCTGCCTGCAATCTCTTCTTCAGCATTCCTAGGAGAGGTTGTCGAGTTGTGTCATCACAATTCTTGAGAAACCACACCACACTCTGCACCCAGCCAATGAGAACGAAAAACTCACATCCCTGGGGCTCTCTGGAGGGAAAAACACAGCTGACCCACTTTTCTAGCTGACTGGGACGTTCTTGTTTTTCGGGCCTGCAGGGTGTGATTTTTCTCATGCTCACACATGCACATGGGCACACATGTGCACGCACACGCATGCACGCACTTCCCTGCCCCTTGGCTTTCGCTCCACCGGTAAGAGCCGAACGCGAGCATTTCTTCAGGGAGAAAAAACATCCCATCATGTGGGGCAACTTCTGCAGTCCATACAAAAGATTCTGGTCTAGAGTGCTGTGGGGGCAGACTCTGGGGCTCAGTTTGGGGTGGGAGGAATAAAGAAAAAATCACTTTGTGTTGCTATGCAGGAGCTGCCCCAGAAAAGATCCTCCCTAAATCCTCCACAGCGTGTCATGCCCCTGTTAGAATCTGACTCTGAGGGAGAGGAGGAACAGGAAGACCCAGGCCCATCCCCGCTTCATCCTAGGGCGCGCAGGGAGGATGGGACAAGGGAGAAACATGAATGGCATGGTCTACGGGGGAGGAAAGGGCCTTGATCCCCTTCATGGGCTGCAGCTGTGAGGACTGCAGTATTTTGAGTTTGAACGGAAGTTCTTCCTTTTTGCAACTGTTTGTGGAGGAGTTTTTTCTCCAGTCAATGATAATTGGACCTTTGAAGCCAAGTTGAAGGAAGTAAAGGGGCTTCACCTGTCTTTGTGCCTTTGTTGCTTTTGTATCTCACCCTGGGTCATCACACAGCCTTTATCAGATAATTATGCAGAGGCTGCTTTAGTCTGGCAAGATTCTGTCCCCTGGCGAACGGCAGTCAAGAAATCACAGGCAGTCCTCAACGGCCCACAATTGAGCCCAAAGTTTATGTTGCCAAGTGAGACGGTTGCTAAGAGAATTTCACCATTTTATGACCTTGCTCGCCACGCCTGTTAAGTGAGTCACAGCCATTGTTAAGTGAGGAACATCTGTTGTTAAGCGAATCCAGCTTCCCCGTTGACTTCACTTGTCAGAAGGTTGCAAAAGGGGATCAAGTGATCCCTTCCCCGGGACGTTGCAACCGCCATAAATGTCAGTCCGCTATCAAGCATCCAAATGTAAATCACATGACTGTGGGGATGCCGCAACGGTTGTAAGTGTGAAAAATTGTCGTGCGTCACTTTTTCCAGCGTTCCCGCAAATTCGAGGAGCCACTAAATGAACATTTACACGTGTTCTTCTTGGTTCTCGTGCCTGCCGGGTACGCCCTTACCTCCTCTTTGACCGTCCCAAACTCTGGATCCAGAGCTTTGAAGTGGTACCGGTGTGTCCCATCTCGGTCGATCGCCGATTTGAAGTCCCTTAGCGTCACTTCCCCTAACCTGCAAAGCGCAAGAGGAGAGGAAGGGCATGTTCTGACCAAAACTTATGGAGACACTAACCAACACACATTAGTCCCAAAACCCTTTTTTCTTCATTTCAACGGTTGTGAATTTTAGTCATTCACAGCCCGTAATGAGTCTCACACAGTTTGTTCATAGTCCCACGGAAGTCTGCCAAAGTCCTTCGGGATAAGGCTGATAAGCACCCACCTTTATCTTCCTTGAAATGCTGCCAACGACTAAATTGCCAATTAGTTATACAAGGCCAAACAGAGCACCAATTCAACACAGAGCTTCAGGTTTCAAACCAACCAGTACGAACAACGTTGCTTCCTGCAAAGACTCCTGTCCCTTTGCTCCTCCTTTATGTCTTAGGGGAGGACCCAATCACCTCCAAGCCTTACTCCCGAGTTGCCCCTTTTGTCTTAACTGTTCTTGCCTCTGGCAGCTCTGCACTTGTGCACTGGGAACAGGCTTCCCCTGTTCCTCTGCCTCGCTGCTGTCAGATTCTGGAGGCCCTGGAGTCAGCACATCACTCCCAGATGGCCCTGGCCCCATCTCTGTATTGGATGCGGGACCCTTGTCCGAGTCCTCCCCAGACTCCAGCACTGGCCCATGTTCCTCCCCACTGTCCGACTCTCCTGCCATCTCCGCAGGCTGCTGGTGGACCAAACAGGGCATGCTAACACCAGGCTGGATGTCAACCTTCCTGCTGGGATGGGAATTCCCTTGGAGACACCCCAGTTCTGGGGTCCCAGAAAGAGGATCTAGGGTTGGGGGAAGGGGAAGGGGAGGAATGCAGGCCCACCTCTTTGGAATGCTGACCATGAAGGGGGTGAGGGAGCGATCGGTGAAGTACAGCACTTTGGTGCAGGCGCTGCTGCTCACGGCTGGCGTGCTGTGAGAATGAGGCAGTTCTGCAGGCAAATAAGAGGGACAGGCTGAGCCACCGGGCGGAGAGCCCACATTCTCCTGGCAGCCACAGATTTCATCCCCAAGGGCCTTCTTAATCCAACAGGACGGATTTATTCCCCGCCACAGATCAGAAAAGCTTTCCCTTCTGTGGCTCGCCGTGCCCTGAGCTGAAAAGGGAAATTACAAAATGAGCCATTGGGGGGCAGAAAGTGTGGGTTTTCATGTGGCATCTTTTAAAAAAGAAATGGGGGGAATGGGGAACGGGGGGGGGGGGGGAAACATCTGGATTCGAAACCGATATCCTTCACTTGGGATGCCCAAAGGCTGCATTCCCACCTGGGACCACTAGATGGCAGCTTATTCTCAGAGAGCCACGTTGCAGCCCCCTTTTGGAATAGGTAAGGTTCTACTTAAAATACTTTCGAATTTAAAAAAAGAAAACTCATAAATGGACATTGTTTCACGTTGTTTCCTTCTTTTTAAATGCTTTAGCCATTTTTAAACCATCCACAGTCACTGGATGGTATATACAATTTATTACTGTTACTTTTGTAATGAGGCATTCCAGGGCAGGGGTCTCTAAACCATGGCAACTTTTAAGATTTGTGCATGTATATATGTTTTTATTGTAGGTTTATATATAGGTTTATTGAGCACAATGAGGCCATCCTGGTGTTTTCTCCGCCATACACACCAAAGTGAAAGACAAAAAATGCTACTTATGCATTGCTAGTCTTGTACAATTATTTTTGACCAACATACTCCTAATACATATATAATGTCTTATTCCGGGTCTATTTTAACTTAGTTATTTCGGGTTCTGACTCCCACCTCTTAGTTCCAGCCATTGATAAAATCTGTTCCAGGTGTCATAGTATTCTGTCTCCCGTTTGTTTTTTTAATTCTAACGTTAATCTGTCCAATTCTGTGCACACTAATATTTTCTTTAATATCTCCTTTTCTGAAGGGGTGTTTTCACTTTTCCATTGCTGGGCATATATACCATTCTCGTTGCCGTCAGGATGTGTAATATTAGGTATATTAACCCTTTACTATAATCATCTGTTATAATTCCAAAGTTGCCAAGGTTGGAGAACCCTCTTCTACAGGCCCTACTATCTGGAGGTGTGCCTGATCCCTTTTGCGCTCCTATCCTAACAGGATCCAGCCAGCAGGCGTGGGTTAAGCAAGAGGAAGAACTGAGGCCAATCGAATGAGGAGAGCAGGAAAGTCACCCCATTTTCCCAAAAAGGGGCGATTCCCAGGAGCTTCGCCTACGGGCCTCTCGAAGCCGGACGTTTCCCAACGGAGAACGAGAACTTCCGAATTGCACTCACTGGAGTTGGAAGGCCAAGATTCCCGATATTCGCTCCCCACGTGGCCTGCAGGCGATTTCCCTCGAACCTGAGCAAGGGAAGCAGATGGATGAGGGGTGGGCTTCTTGGACACTCCTCCATGCGAATCGTTCCCGGATCTCGGGGGCGGTACTCATCTCCGTTTCAAAGCCAAAGAAGAGCCAGCGCTGTCTGAAGACGTCTCCGTGGTCGCGTGGCCGGCATGACTAAACACTGAAGGCGCACTGAACGCTGTTCCCTTCCCACCAAAGGGGTCCCTATTGTCTACTTGCATTTTTTACATGCTTTCGAAGTGCTAGGTTGGCATAACCTGGGACAAGGAACGGGAGCTCACTCCATTACGCGGCGCTAGGGATTCGAACCGCCGAACTGCCGACCTTTCTGATCGACAAGCTCAGCGTCTTAGCCCCTGAGCCACCGCCTCTCTTTTATTTCCCATTGCTTGAACCAAAATTGGTTCTTTCAGAGCAGCCTAGAAGGCTACGCCCAGCTACACCGAAGCTCTAACGAAAGGCGGATTAAAAAAAATCCTGCAAATGGCGAGTTCCTAAAAGGGTGGATTGAACAGACCGTTCCCTGATCAGCTAGATCTGGCCTGGTCCTCCTTCCAGGACAGGAACGCAAGAGGTTCTCCCAACATGGAGAGAGAAGACCTGGGTCGGCCCAATGGAAGGGCTTCTGCTCGAAACCAAGGCACCCACACAGCTCGGAGCCCCACCGGAGCGAAATAGGGGCCCTTCTAGGGAGAACGCCAGGTCTATAGAAGTGGTGGCTAACCTTTTGGATACCAGGTGCCCAAACTGGAATGCGTGTGCATGGCCTGTGCTGGAGCACAGGAAACCCAAAGACCCGCTGGCCAGTGCGCGCGTGCCTGTTTTTTGGCCATTTGGGGGGTAATTTTCAGGGCCATTTTCAGGCTGTTTTCCAGCCAAAAAACAGTCTGAAAATGGCCCAGAAAACATCCTGAAAACCATCCTGAAAACAACCCCCCAAATGCCCAGAAACAGCCTGAAAAACAGTCAGAAAACAGCCAGAAAAAGGCCCAGAAAACAGCCCAGAAAACAGCCAGAAAAACAGCCCAGAAAATGGCCAGAAATTGCCCAGTAAATGGCCAGAAAACAGCCCAGAAAACAGCCAGAAAAACAGCGCAGAAAACGGCCAGAAACTGCCCAGTAAATGGCCAGAAAAACAGCCAGAAAAAGGCCCAGAAAACAGCCGGAAAATGGCCCAGAAAACAGCCGGAAAAAGAGCTGGAAAATAGCCCCCAAAACAGCTGGCAACTGCCCAGAAAACGGCTTGTTTTTCGGCCGTCTTTCGGGCCGTTTTCGGGCACTCCAACACCCACGAAAACCAGCTGGCTGGTGCGCATATGCACGCCAGAAACCAGAAGAGCAGCTGGCAATGGCACACATGCTCACAGAGAGGGATCTGCGTGCCACCTCTGGCACGTGTGCCCTAGGTTCGTCATCACGGGCCTACAGCTTCTCAGACGGAGACCCTGCCTGAGGACAGGAGCTGAGCTGCCTTCACAGCTCCAGCAGGAGGGAGATCTGGTGAGAGAAGACGAAGAGGTCCCTCAGAGGACCCACCCAGCGGCTGGGCAGACCAGCCCCGGCAGCCCAGAGCAGAAACTCTCTTGGGCATGGCCCTCCAAGCAGGCTTCAGGGCTACCTCCGTGGGACTGGAGCTAAAGGAGACGTGTCCTACCTCAGCCCAGAGTCGAGGGCTGCTCCTGAGAACGCGGGAAGGGGAATGATGGGTGCCTCAAGGGACGGGAAGGCCAAACCGCCTCCAAGCGGTGGCTCCTTACCCTCTTCTCCTGCCTCTTCTGCACCTCCATGCGGTGCAACCTCTCCATCAAGCTGGAGATGCCCTGCTCCAGGCTATCAATGGTGTGGTGTTGCGGGTCGTGGCCGCTGAAGCTGTTCCGCAGACTACGCAGGGCCTCGCGCACCAGCTGCAGGTCGCTGGCCTGCCAGGAGAGAGACCCAGAAGCAGGGGGTGCTAGATGCCACCAGGCCAACGCTGCAAAAACCAGCCCTGGGGAAAGTCCCTCCCCCCTCCCCAAGCCGTGGAACCCGAGGGGAGCGTACCCCTCTGTGCGTTGAAGACGCCGTTCCTTTCCCCGAGGACTGGAGGAACCCATTGCTCTGAGAGTTGTGGTTGCCGTAGAGGATCACCTGCTTTGCAAGAGAGGAAGTGAAGCGGTTTGGCAAGGCTGGGAAGGGCCAGGTGGAAACCTAGCCACCCTTTCCAAGCTCAGCTCAGGAGCCATCCATGTCTGGCAGGCCAGTGGGGTCTGTCCCCTCAGGTAACCTAGTGTGAGAAAAGGGCGGCTTTCGAAGGAGCAGGGCTGGTCTGTTCTGCCTGTCCTGCCAACTGGGAGGAACCCCAAACCATCCACCCCGTCCCTCCTCTCCCAAATAACTCAAAGTTGACCTCATCTTTGAGGGGACCTTTGTGCTCTCTGAGCTTGGCTCCTCCTCCTCTCCAGAAACCCCCACTCCCTCTGGCACTGATGATGTTACCTAGCTGGGTAACACATCTGCAAGGAAACCACCAAGCTCAGAGTACCAAGAACTCCACATTCCTCCTCCTCCCCACTCCCTTCTAGCACCGATGATGTTACCCAGTTGGGTAATGAAACACCTGCAAGGAAACCACCAAGCTCAGAGAACACCAAGGACCCCGCAGTCCTCCTCCTCCTCCCAAACCCCTCTCCCTTCTAGCACTGATCATGTTACCTAGCTGGGTCATGAAACGTCTGCAAGGAAAGAACCGGACTCAGAGGACCCCCAAGGGCCCCTCATTTCAACCCTGAGCTACAAATATTCTCCTTTACTGAAGTCATCTTGGCTGGCCTGTACACCTGCCCTTCCAGAGGCCAAGCGAGAGGGACAGGGACCCAATTTCGCATCCCGCCGGAGCGCCACATACCTCTTCCACGTCCTTCTTCAGGCAGCGAGCCAGCAGAGCTTCCCTGTGCTGCAGCTCCCTTTCCAACTCGGCCTGGGAGGGAAGAGGCAGAGAGGCCAATGGGCCCATGGGATTTATTTTTATTTATGACACGGCTATGCCGCTCGACTGACTATCCAGAGGGACTCTGGGCGGCCTGGAGGCTCCCAGCTGGAGGGGGAGGAGGGCACGGGGAGATGGGGTGGGTGGGAGCCCCCTACCTGCTGATACCCGGCCTCGGAGAGCTGGCGCAGCATCTCCTCCATCTTGGCCTGGTGCTGATGCAGGAGCCGGTCCTTCTGGCTTAGCTCTTTCTGGAAGAGAGAGGGAGGGAGGGAGGGAGGGAGGCTCAGTCTGGGGGGGCTGCACTTTGGGTCCTTCACTGGCCAGCCCCCCCCCCCCCCAGATGCTTGGAGGTGGAGGGTGCTATCCCAAGACGGGGAAGAGCAGAATGTGAACGATGGAATAAGAGCCCCAAAGGAAAGTTTCTCATGCAAGAAACTTCATCAGCTCTGAGTTGGATGGTGGGGAAACGGAAGGATCGATACTCCTTGCAAGACGGAGCTGGTCATTTGCATCCTTTGAGAGGGTCGTTGAGGCCACTTGGAAGTTTGTCTGTGTCCTCAGGGCCGAACTGAGTTGTGCCCCTGGTTCCTGGAGTCTGCTACAGACTTTTAGCTATACAGTTTGGGATGGACACCCTTGGAATGGCGGGGGAGGAATAGGAATGGATTTCCAGCGGGAAAAAAAATGCAGACTACAGGAACCATTTGCACCACTCAGGTGACCCTGAGGACACAGATAAACCTCCAAGTGGCCTCAACGACCCTCTAAAAGGATGCAAAGGACCAGTTCTGTCTGCAAGGAATACGAATCCTTCCATTCCCCACCATCCAGTCAGAGCTGATGAAGCTTCTTGGATGAGAAGTGAAATGTCTTCAAAGAAAAAAAACCAGAAAATCCAGTTGCCACTTGAAAAAAAAAAAAGCACCTTTAGGACCTCCATGGCCCAGAGGACTGAGAATCTCCGTAGACGATGGAGAAAGAAGCTGCCAAGAGGCTTACGACTTCTGTCTCTGGGCTCTCTGGGTGGGGAGCTCTCCTCGGTCTGAACCCCCGCAAGGTGAGAGGGAAGGACTTCCTGGTTACCTGGGAGCCAGCAGCTCCCAAGAACGCTCCCACACCAACAAGCCCTGCAGGGGAGGAAGACCCCCTTACCTTGTACTCCGCCAGAAGCCGGTTCCTCTCTTCCACCTTCCTCTGGAGATCAGCCTGCAGAAGCAAGAGTCGAACACAGATGGGATGACCCGGAGCGTGACACAAAAATAACAAAGTCACAAAAGTAGAATAAATTCCCTTTAATGCCTCCAACTTGGCCCCCCAATGTTCAATTATCCTCGGCTGGAGATCAAATTCTTTAAAAAAACAGTCTACAAAGGGAAGAAATGCAGTCCAAACCCAAAGTAAAGATAATTAGACATAAAAAAAAAAACCAACACAAACCACACTGAAGTAATTAACACAGCAGGGCAGGATGATAAATTGCAGACTTTCAAAGGATAACGCAGCACCCACAGTTGGGAGGATGCCAAAAACCCAGGTAGGCCTCGACCAAGAAAATGCACGCTTTGCTTCCAGCAAGGTGCTGTGTGCAAACGCCCTTCTTATATCTTCTTCTCCCAGCTGCCACTAATGAAAGGGATCAGGGCCCTTTTCTCTCCCGTAGGCCATGTTGCTCCCTTCTCCGTTCCTCCCTGCATGCTCTAGGATGAAGAGGGGGTGGCCCTGGGTCTTCCTCCGAATGCTCAGCCGGACTGTGCCCTTCCCCCGTTTCCTCCACAGCTACCGGAGCCCCACTCCCACTCCCCGCCAGCTGCTCAATCTCCCCCTCAGAGTCAGACTCCAACGAGGGCAGGACAGCAGAGTTGGGACCTTGGCTGACAGTCCTGGGCTGAAGCAGGTGGGTACAGATCTGAAACCTGCCTTTCTGCCCGGCCACGGGGGTCATGCTGCCCTTCCCCACTCCCCTCCCTCCCCAGCTCCCCCCTCTCCTCCCACCGGAGACCCCCTGGCAAGGCCCCTCCCGTGTCCCTATGCCCTGCAGGGGCAGCCCTTGACCTCCCCTGCCAAGAAAGACACTCACATTCTGGCTGTGCAATTCCTCCTTTTCCATATTTGCTCTCAGCAGCTCCTGTTTTATCTGAAGCATCACCGTGTCTTGCTGGGCCAGCCTCTGCTGCAAAGCATCCTTTAAAAAATAATAATAATAATAATAAATGACTACACCCCATTTCAGGCTCCAAGCACCCCCATAATCAAAGCTACAGAGTGGCACCTCTTCTCGGGGTTTGAACTGACATTTCGATCTCTTTCTAGCACGATTTCTTTTTAGAGAGTGGACCCCAATAAGTTCCATGAGCCCGACCTCATGTTATTTAATTGTTTCTTAGATTTATAGCGTGCCCCTCTAATTTTGCCACCCAAGGGCTTCTGGAGACCCTTCCCCTCCCCCAAATGGCCTGATCCCACCTCCATCTTCTCCATGTCAGGATTCCAGCAGTCACCCCACAATTAAATGCTGAGTCTCGAGCCAAAGTTCCAAAACTTCAAAAGGATTTATTGTGAGTTAGCATGTCCGGCACTGTCTGGGTGTAGCCGACTCTGAGACACATCATTCATTGTCAGCCTTGACCCTGGTTTTCCCCCCACCCCCCTGGGTGTATCATCATTCATATTCTCCAATGGGACACAGCCATAGCCCAGAGTCATCAATCGGGCTCTCCAGTTAGAATTTTGCACAGCAGAAACTTCAGTCACCTCGTTACTATCTTTGAAAAACTATTGATGGGATGCACTTTTCGGTTTGCAAGCAGCCGCGCTGCTCCCTCCTCCCTCCCTTTCTGTTGGCAAACTCTAAAAAGACCCTAGAAATATTTTTATGAGTTGACACGCCAACGTTCTCTCTCACCTTGACTCCCTGCAGGTTTCGGCTTTCCTGCTTGCATTTCTGCAGCTCCTTCTGCAAGGAAGCCAAAGGAAAGGGTTTGGGGGGTTCGCCCCCTTCCCCCCCCCCCCCCCCCCCACACCCCTCAACTCTTCCTGCTTGCATCCATTGACTCTAGCCCGCCCGCCCACCCACGCAACCAACCCTGGTCGCCCTTTAGGCCAGAGGATGCCAAGAAGGTCCAGAGCCCTCACCAACTACAGCACCTGCTTTAAGACCATCGCCAAAATAGCCCTAAAATCAGGTTGGTCATTTGAGGATGGTCTGGATTTCTGACCGTAAGAGGCAGGCTCCCTGACGGACATATCTCGAGGCGCATCGGGAAGCCGCCGCCGCCGCCCCTTTCCTCACCTTCAGGTCCTGGTTCTCCTCCAGACTCTGATCCAGGCGGCTCCGGATGATGACCTGGAGACCCAAGAGAGCCGTTACCGCCCAGCACCTCCGTCCCCAGCCGGGCCAGGGAGGGGCAGGAGGGCCGGGAGGAGAAGGCTCACCAGCTGCTCTTCCAGACCGCCGTCCTGCTCGCACAGCCCCAGAGAGCGTTCCTGCTCGTCCTCGGGGAGGGACCCGTTCAGGAGAAGCGCCTGGCGGGGCAAGAAGGGGGACAAGGGGTGAAGCCCCGTGGAAGCCCCCCACCCAGGAGGAAACCAGCCTCCTTCTCTCAGGGGACCCAGGGAGATAAAAGGGGGTTCCGCCTCCTGAAGGAGGGGAGGGAAGCCACAGGCAGAAGCCCTGCAAGGGAGGCCCACCTGGCCCCAAGCCTGAGACTGAGGAAGGGAGGGAGAGAGGAAATGGGAATGGGAGGGAGGGAGGGAGGGAGGGAGGGAGG